CTGGCGGGCACTGGTCTCGGGCAGTCCCAGGGGGCCCCGCAGCCACGGAGGGAAGCACCAGGCCCCCATGCAGCTCAGGCAGGCAGGCTTGGGGGTAAGGAGTTGGGGGGGAGAGATCAGGCTTGCTGCTTTTCTTGTGCAGAGCTGCTTTCCCAGGCTGATGTCAGACTGCTTGCAAGGCTTCCTGCAGAGCCATGGAGCTGCACAGAGCCCGGTGCTTTGCTCCGCAGCTGTAGGGGCAGCAAACTAAAACTCCTCGAAGGAGTTTTAGTTTGCTGCACCCCAAGTCATTTAAGGCGCATTACGCCACCAAATTTCCTACAGCGGCTAGAATGAATGTGCAGTACGCTGCCAAGGCATGCAAGTATCGACATCATTATAGTGATGCAAAACCATTTAGCCCGCTTTAAAGTGTCGTGCACACACGTCTTTCATTTCGTCTATGCACAGCCTGTGATAAGGCTTTATTGAATCCATATTCTGGTTTTAAAGTAAAATCAAAGGACATCAAGGCATGGCTTTGTTTTATTGAGGTTCTGCAGCTGCCAGATGAACTGCAGAAACTGCTCCATGCCACTGAATCTGGGTTTCCCAGGTGGATTTCATTAGAAAAGTTATTTTAACAATCCTAATATCTAAAATCATCTGAATATAAACAGCACTATATCAGTTTACAGACAGCATGAAAGTAACAGAAAAGGTAGAATAAAAGTGATGCTACAGTGAAGCTAACAGACAATATTTGCAAGATCTGCAGCCAACAGCAGCAGGAAAGATAATAAGGCACTATTCTTGACAGCCTTGAAATGGAACTGCAAGTATGTAAGGATACATTAAATTATCACACTTTTCTAGATGATTTTTAAACTGATGGAGCCAAGGTGTGTTCTCCCAAGAGAGATTTACAGAGACAGTTCTTAGAGAACCAAAGGCATTGATGAAAACTTTTAACAACATAAGTGCACTAAAATCAGTGTTTGAGGGTGGGAAACAATAATATTTTTCCTCTCACTAATTTCTGTTAGATTACACTATGATTTACAATTTGCAGTTCATAAGTAACTAACAACAACTTTAAGATTGGATGTATAATCCAGCTCTTTCTGTGTCCCAAAAACTTTTGGAGTATTGTATCAATCCCATCAGAGTTAGAACTAAACCAATTTCTACTTGCATTACCATTCACTGTAGCTTTAGCTCACTGATCTGTAAGTAATTATTTAATGCACACTGTCTGTGCTGTGCTGGAGAGACTTACCAAGCCTTAGGCACTGCCGCATTAAGCCTCCAGATGACATATTTTTTTCAGCTTCAATCTCACTAAAATTTAGGGAACTGGCAAATACCAGTACATCAACCATAGCCATCAGTCGGCTGAGGAAAGTTACGGCTGTCTCTGCTGACATTCCTTGCGTCACTTCGATATTTTCTAATTCAGTCTTTAAGAGAAAACAATTGTGTTAAATTTAGCAGAATAAAACTTACATATGCATGTAATCTATACATGTTCCTTTCTACAATTAATTATAAATGCATAAATGAAAAAAATTACAAAAGTTACTTTGTGTAATTTTCATCAATGTAAATGACCTGAGTGTAACTTAATGTAAATTAAAACAATGGATAGTACAAAAATGGAGAGTAAAAAGGATGAATTCAGGCTTGCATGCTATGATAGATATTACAAGATCTAATCTCATTGAAAAAAGTACTAGTATTTACATAAGACTGAATTTTGGCCCAGCTACTGCTGCACTGCAAGACATTAGGGGATCCACACTTCTTTATGTTTCTGAACAGGGTATATGTATCCCTAGATAGCACAGGAAGGTCATACACTCTCCAGAGTTAGTACATGTCCCACTACCCCTTCCCCCTCCCCCAAACAGGTAAGGAGGAGGAGTGGAACAGAATGGAAAGTGAATAGGGCCTTGGCTCTACATAGATTGACTGGTCTGCTTGAATAATGTATGTTGGGCATAAAGCTGGCACAGTTTATGCCCTCAGTGGGTCAAGAGAGAATGCAGTTTACTTTCTCCTTCCTGCTCTAGTGAAGGAATAAACTGTGCCAAATTCGTACCTGATGCCACATATATGCCATATGGGGTAATGGTTTTCCTTTACTCTGGGGCAATGTTGCATTGCCACAAACTGAGCTCACAGCAAAACTAAGAATAAGCCTATCGTTATTTCTGAAATGTAAAAGAGGATTATGATTTAGGGTAACATTTTCAGAAAGTGGCATACACATTAGGTGACATTTTGGGATTCAAATGCCATAGAAAGGCATCTACTTAAGCCAGGGCACCTACATCACATTGACAGCAGTGCTGATTTCAACACAAAATGTGGAGTAGCACAGCACTGCACAGTCACTCCCAAAAAGTGATGCCCACCTGTTGTGCAACAGCCCAACAGCAACCACCACCACCCAGGACCACCTGCTCTAGGCTCTCCATAACCTGAGGGGACTAAATCTCACACTCTCAACTTCCCAGCAGTGTCTCACCCTTCCAATAAAGGCACAAAGCTAGAAGAGCTAAGCATTTTTGGACCAAAGAAAGATCAAGCAAGAGGGAACACAAATGTATCAACCATTAGTAAGGGCATTCTCAAGAAGGAAAGTGGTAACCCAAATTCTGAGTCCTCCAAGGCCTATTTATGACTTTTACATTAGACAGCCATTGCTTAAAATACAGAAATAACCCTGGCAGCATGTATTGCATATTAGTTGTTCAATCTGAAATGATTCTGAACACATGCACAAGCATAAGGCAAGATGCCCAGGCAAATTTACAGGACGAGAAGGAGACACTTAGGGTTTGTACAGGGTTTCAGGTACGTTAGATCAAGTTAAAAATGAACACCAGATCTAAGGTAAGTCAGGATAGGGGAGCTAGCAGTGGAGCTCGGTATCACCAGGGGAGCTAGCAGAGTTGGTGCAGTCCAGGAGGGTTGGGAGGATCAGGAGAGACAAGTGGGTCTGTGGCGGCGGTTGGTGGGGTGTGGAATGGTTTGGCAGGATTTGCGGGGCTGAGCTGAATCAGGGGGCTATCAGGAATGTAGGGGAATTGGCAAGCTAGCAGGGTCCACAAGGGGCTTGGTGGGCTTGGGAGGGGCTAGCAGAGTTGATAGGGGGGATTGAGGGGGATCAGGAGGGCTAGTGGGGTCTGAAGGGGGGAGCTGCTGGGGTCTAGGGTGGTTTGCCAGGAGCAGGGGGGCAAGCGGGGTCTGCAGGGGGGAGGGGGAAGGAGGTTTGGTGGGATTGGAGAGGTTCTCCGACCTGCCAAGCACCCTCCCACACAACCCAGCCCTGCCCTGATACCAGCAAACTGTCCCTGTTCCCTCAAACTGCTCCCAGAACCAGTTTTACTGGTGTTCACTGGTCCCAGGAGCCTGACTGAAGTAAGTTGGGGGAGGGGCAGGTAGACTGAGGGGAGCTAGTGGCTCCATGGTGAAGGGGTTGGTGGGACATGTTGGCTCTCTCTTGCCGAGACCAGAGGCTATTTTTAGCCACCAATCCTCCCTGCCAACAAACACCCATGCATCCAGTCCACCCCTCTCCCCACCCTGACTTACTTCCTCAGCTCCTGGCACCAGTGAATGATGGTAAAACTGGCATTGAGAGCAGCTTGCAGGATGGGAGTTTAGTAGGCACTTGGGCAAGGGGTTTGTGTCCATCTGGGGGTGGGGTAAAGGGTCAGGGGGGGAAAAACAGCGTAATGCTGGGGTAAGTAGGAAAAGTGCAGCCCCAGGGCTGGGACCAGCGGCTGGTCTTTCCCAGCCCTGGGGCTGCACTGGGAACTGTACAGAAGTTCAGTTAGATTGTTCTTGCTGGACCTGATCTAAATTAGACTACCTCCAAGGTAGGATTAAATTAAACTGGGTCGGCCATTTTTTGACCAATCTAATCTTTCTGAATTTCTGTATAGTTCACACTTAGATTGACCTAAGGGATCTAAGGGCAAGGTTCACACCTGGATGAATGAATTTAGATCAGGTAGCCATTTTTAATACAATCTAGCCTTCCCGTGTATCTGTACCTAGCCTTAATGAATTAGGATCCAAGGTGGTTTTGCACTTGTTGAGCTGGAGCTATTTTGTAAGTTAGGCACCTATAAGAACAATCTGGATTTTGTCTTTAGGCATTAAAGATCATCATTTTAAAACTCATTTAGGTCCATAAAGGTGCAGATAGGTCCAGAGTGGTATTTACAAAAGCAAGGCATTCAGGTGTCTACACCTTCCTGATATCAATCAGAGGAGACAGTCACCTAGGTGTTTTCACAAATCCCACCAGGTACTTATTTACATCCTCAAGAACCTAAACACTTTTACAAACTGTGCCTATAAGGGCTTAAGTCTCACTTATTGCCATCAAGAATTAAGTTCCTAAGTCCCTTCTGAAAATGAGTCAGATGGTTTTGAAATTTTTATCATTTTAATAAGTGGCTCTAGGCAAGATAGTTTTTCCTAATAGATAATAAAAAGAGCAGAGAAAAAATTGAAATAATCTGCTGAGAATTCAATGTCCTCAGTGAGTAACAACTTGTTGAAATAATGGTTGAAGTTAAAAACAGTGCAAATCATGCGAAACAATCTTAAGAGAGTAACTGCTCTGACACACAAAAGGTATAAGGTGAATCTATGATCATACTGGTAGATAACATTGCATTTTGTTTCTCTTAAGAGCAAAGTATATCAGTAATACAGGTATTCTATGGAGGTTGTCGCCTTTTAGAATCTGTGCGGTAAGAAAAAGTAAATGGCACTATGAACATTAACCCTCTGAAGGACTGTCACTAGCACTGCATTCCTCTAGAAAGTTCTCTCTGACATTCTGTAATTTTTCTGTTACAACTCTCTTGTCGCAATAGAACACTACTTGCATCTTTTCATAAAGGTCTGATAAACTGTTTATAAAATCACTTAGACATATTTAAATTGAAGAAGCCACATCAGGGTATGGCTCAGTAGACTGCTAGCATAAGTCTCAAGTAGCTTAAAGGAACTTGTTTTGGGATTCTTGCTTGAAAATACACTTGAGATGTGCTCTGGTATTTTACTAATATACTTATTATGCAAACTTCTTTAAGAAGAACAAAATTCCCAGACATGTTCACAGTTTGAACTAAGTTGGATTTTTACTACTGAATAACATGTCTGCCCTTTAAACTGGATCATGGACTTGACAAACTAAGATTGGTACTTTAGAATAAGCAATATAATATCTGTCAATATATTAACTGATCATAAAAAAGTCTTAGGAAAAATCATAAATTCACCAGAAATGTATCTTAGCACATCCTGGTGAATATTATGAAAAAAAAAGTTTAAAGGGCAAAAAGCTAAATTATCAAAATAAGAAACTTTTGAAAATGAAAAAAACTGAAACTTACAGCATTAATACTAACCTTAGAACCCTGGACATGCAACAGACAAAACAGACAACAGATCACAACAATAAAAGAAAAAGAAAATTATTAAAGTCAACAGAAAATACAATGTAAAATTTAAACAAAGTAATTTGCTGCAATCATATATTCACTTGATTGATCTATAAATACAATAAAATAAGCATTTCTGCTTGTCACCACTTGAAAAAAAAAATCCTTAAAAAAACAAGGAGGCAAGACTGCAGCACCCCTTAGGTGAGGGGGCAGAGAGAGGGGTTAGTCCCCGCTCCCTCCAGTGTCTAGCAGAGGGGGTAGGAGGGGACTTATCCTGCTGCTTGCCCCATGTAGGGAGCAAGCAGAGGCAGGGGCTGGGGTGGGCAGACTCCCACTGCGGTGCCCCAGGGACAGTGGGGATAGAGTGGGGAATAAACCCCCTCCCTGTCCCCTCTGCCTCAGGGGCCATGCATCAGCAAAGGGGAAGTGCTAGATGGACCCCAGCTCAGGTCCGTGCTGGTGGGACAGGGAGGGGGAAAATTACAAACCTGGAACAGCCAGCAGAGGAATGCAGGTGTACTTCAGTGGGACAGGAGAGGGAGGGAGGGGAATAAACCTCTTCCCTGCTCCCTTCTGGGAAGAGTGTCTGGCCAGGCCCCTAGGGAGCAGAGGGGCAGGACCAGCCCTGCTCTGCTGGAGCAGACAGCACAGCTCAGACAGCATGCCGGGATACTGGGGGATTCAAGTTTAACTTAAACCAGAAAGGGGGCTGGGACATAAGTTGCATAAACCAGTTTGAGCTCAATCAGTTAAGTCTGATGCTACATTCAACCAGGTTTATCTCAAACTGGTTTTGGCCATTTTGAAACTGGTTTGTGTGTACTGAACTTATGTTCTGTTACAGGTTTAACTCACTTTCTGATCACTTAAACCAGTTTGTATGTCTGTCCCTAGCCCAAATCTTATTTAATATCTCTTTCAACAATTTACTTGTTCCAATGTAAGATATTTTGATGCTAACATCTTTGAGATGGCAACTGTGTTTGTAATACCAAATGTATTTCTGATATTTTATGTCACTAGAGATGCCACCAAAGTATCTACTCCAGCAGAAAATGAAGGAAGTCTGAAATCAACAGGTTTTTTTTTCCCCCCCTTTAAGGTAGAAAATGTAGTTTAGCCATCCTTTCACTCAGGCTAGTCATCAGGAATGGGCTTGATCTTAAAACCATTTTTGGGACCCACTCATGTTTCAATCTTTTTAGATTTTGCATGTAAGAGGTGAATGAAATTATTGATCCAAAACAGTAAATGGCAGTAAACTCCTTTTGATTTCAATAGGAACAGAGTTTCTCCTAGGTCCTATAAAGCCATATCAGATTTTCAAAGCTAAATATTTTTTTCCCTTACTCCACAACCCTAAGTCTTCATTCATGACTGCCTTTCTTATGGTAATAAATGGTAGGTTTGGACTGCTGATCTATCCCAGTGATTCTCCTTTTAAGGGTGCTCTGCAATATTAGCACTGTAAGGAGTTCAAACCCCTGCACAGGATTTACATGATAAACACATTTTATTTCAGTCAGGTATCCATAGTGTCAAAAACATTCTTATTTGTTGTAATCTGAGTTCTCTGTAATAGAAATATGGCTATTATTTTTGTGTAGTCAAAAAATGAATGAAAGTTAAAAGATGGTATTTTCTAAGTGGTATCTTGAGTCTATCTAGCCAAACAGTTCTTTCCATCGCAACAAAATTCTTTTTTTTAATTAGTAAAAGGCATTTTTTTTTTTTACATTCCCTTTCCATTTTCAACATGCTCCTTTTCTTGCTTTGCATTTGTAGACCTCTTGATTGTAAAATTTGGGGCATACTAAGAGAATCTCATTTGCGTTAATAAAAAAAACCCATATACTTACAGCACAAAGTTTAAGCATTCAACATATTAATATCTTTCTGCCAGGGGATGTGATCTTTGCAGAATTACTTATAAGCAAGACACCAGAATTGGCACTGGAATTCTTTGGCACATCAGTGTAAAGACACATTTCCAGGCCAGCTCATCTGTTTGCTATCACATCTTTAAATAGTCTCTTCTTTTATTTAACTGTCTTTCAATATGTACTTAAAGGCACTTATCCTTAGCTTCACATACTATTTATATTACAATACATATGCAAAAATGGAATTAAAAGACTATTCAAGTTCTGAAAAGGTCCAGTGTTGAGTTCTCAGAAGTTAGAAAATAACAAGATTAAAGTTACCTAGCAATCTTAATTCAAATGCGTCTATGCAGTTTTATAGTCTAAATATATGATAACTCTGGCCCTGCTGGATTCATGGCAGAAGTGGGCCCTAGTTATTAAACAATGGTGCCATGTTTAAAACGGTGGTTTTTGCTTCCCTGCTGATCAGGAGCAAGCCAAGGAGTACAGGGGAACCTGCAAGACTAAAGGGGCTGCAGTGCAGCCCACTTCCACCCTGAATCCACTAGAGTTCTAATGATAACATTTCTCCACAGAAACACTACTTCATTCAGTACATGGAATAAGTGGTGTACACTTAGGCTAACTACAGATGTTCAGAAAGAACTCTATCAAGCTTTAGTAAGTGCTAAAAGTTAGAATGCTTTCAAACTGAACAGATGTTCGTCATTCAGGAGTGGGGCTTGAAGCCTGCTCATTGCCTGAGGCCAGCCATTAGGGGGAGCTCTCGCATGTCTCCCAGAATGCCCTACAGGCTCCCTGGGCTGCTGAAGACTCCTGAACAGAGCCAAACATGCAAGCCACCCCTGGTTGGCTGGTAGACATGGGCCACCACACCCCTAGCCCCCTTCCACGTCATTGCGGACTGTGACATGGAGCCTCCTGGGGCCGAATTCTGTGGCCCGCCTACCTGTCACCGTGACAGGAGGCCTACTCAGGGCCGAGCTCTTTGTGGCCCGCCCACCTGTCTTTGGGCAACCGCCCACTTATCTCACCCGCCACGCCTTTGATGATAATTGATTCGTATATCGATGTCAATTAAGCGGGAGGCTGCCCATTGTAGTGCCCCGATGCCAGGGGGCGCTCTGCGGCTCCGACCTCCCCTAATACCGCAGCCCAAGCCTCGCAGATGGCATCTTGGTGTTAACACTATCACCGGCCCCACGCTGGGTCCCAGAATCATCCT